TCAGCTCACATTCATATACCCATTTAACTAACTGGACTAACTCAAACAAAACAACCCTACACTGTAAAACAATCTTGTTGTTTTTACAGTATTATACAATAAAACGAACAGTAAAGTACTGTATTAATTATTTACAGTAAATTGCCGTAAATAGCTATGCACTCAGGGTGATTTTCGGCATAAACAGTTAGTGATGCTGTAAATTCCAAAGAAACTTTGGTTTAACAGTGCATTACTTTAACCGCACAGCATTGTGGAACTGGCAACTTTTTTAAAACAACTCTGAGGGATAGGATTGAGAGACATCAAGGTCTAAAGTGAACCAACCAAACAAGGTGTGTACAACATTCATATGATTTACAAAATGTATTAAACCGAATATTACACTGTAATGGAATTATTTTATTATATGGTACATTTGTACATTTATCAACAGTAAAATTATGTGAAGCATTATACTGCAGCATACTGTAAATGATGGTGCATTGTGGGAAAATGTTGTGGGCAGGGAAATAATGGCTGTATTTCAAATGGTACTGTAATTCCACCCCACAGAATACAGTACCGTAAGATATTTTTGGAGCGACAAAAACCTTTTGACCATATTTTGAGGCGTGCCTTGTAAGAGCCTACATTTGTGCCACCTGTTCGTAAGAGTGCTGTCAGTCTCTATCAACCGATGGCAGGCACAACGAAAACACCTCAGATTATGTAAACTAGGGTCTAAGCTATATGAAAAAAAAAGAAGAAGAGTTTACGCGTTTTTAGATAATTGATGATAAATGTTAGAAAATGACCGTTCATTTTTTTTTTTTTATTCAAGAAATTATTAAACAGTTTGACAACCCTATTTGTAAGCTTTTATATGATATTAAACTCAACTGTTAATATTTTCCAGTGATGAAGACATGGCTGTCTCAAGGTATGGTGGGGTATGTAAAACTTTGAGCACCTCTATCTCCTGAATGTTGTGGTATTCAGGTCCAAAAAGTCATTTTCTGACCACTTCTACAATGGGCAAGTATGTACGGAAAGTTTCGTTTAAATCAAAAGGGGTGCGATCAGAAAGTGATTTTCAGTGATTTTTTGCAAGCTGGACACAGTCAAGAAACTGTATGAACGTAGTTTTTCGATTTGGTTTTTGTCATTTTAAAGTATACAACTCTACAAATATATTTTATTTTGTTCGGCATATCAGAATACTTCTGTCTCCTCTCCTTTCTCCAGAAAAGGAAGTGGTTGAGTGACAGATTAAGCGGAGGATGGGAGATCATTTAACAGACACAAACTGTGAAGAGATGGTGGGCGGAAGAGAGGGAGGTAGGGAACAAAGCATGCAGACAACACATGGAAGGAACATGATTGTATACACATACTGTATGCTATTAATTGTCCATCCAAGGTTGAATATCCCTGTGTTTCAAGTAATGTTATTGAGTGGCAGCACTTGCTCATGTTCATGCAAATAAGCTGAGATAAAATTGCATGGATCAAAAGTTCACCTACAGAAATCTGAAGAAAGGAAATAAGCAGTACGAAGGTGAAAAGACCACCATAGCTCTAAGCAACAACACAGCAAGTACAGGGTTTTTATCTATCACATTTCTGCATTTTCCATCACTTTCATCGTTCACAGAGAGTCAGCGATCTTCAGGTATTTCAAGACAAAGTAAATGTGAATGTACCGTAGGTTAAATCTGCCTTCCAGCTAATTTAATTTGGTTCTAGGCGTGAATCTCTCAATGGCCTAATAGCCTATTAAAGATACAGTATTAGATTTCAAACGAAAGCTTGGCCTACCTCACATATATCACACATTTTAAACGTTGTCCATTTTAATGTAGAAATACAGTATACGGTATGTTTTAATGAAGCATATGGCTAGCTAACTGGTAAACAAGAAATGTGTAAACATAAAATACAAAACGAATAGATAGTTCGTTTTATGTAATTACACACACACACTCCAAAACTGTAACGCCTCGATAACACCGACAGCGTCATTGCATTTTGGTACACCAGAAGTACATTCATTTCCAATGGAACGCTGCGTTTGTCTTGCAGCATTGCATTGCAGAGGCAGTTGCAGTGCATTCTGTGTGGTGCATACGTTGGATTTATCGAACGTATGCGTCAAACTGTATGTGTAGACGGCTTGACAGAAATGGTAGCAGAAGGTAAATGTTGAACTTTTGTTGCACACATATCCAGATGATGCTGCGTACTATTTTGAGCAGTGACGCTATCGGTGTGATCAAGGTGTAAGTATGATTCAGAAAACCAAACGTGCATATTTAAATAGACACTATCTTGGATATTTTTTCTCTATTGTTGATTCTGCTGTTTTGATTGGTCGGTCGCAACTGACATTGAAGAGCTGTCCTTTTGACAGACAACAATACCCTATGAAAGTACCACCTACTTCCTGGTTCCAGTACCTACGGTTTTTGAATCGGCGTCAAGCTTATATCATAAAATTCATGAAAATGCAGTTATATAAGATACTGAATATTCAAATATATTCCTATACATGTATTGCTTTGCTCATACCCGATGCCTTTTATCAAAATATTTGACGCTCAAGAAGTAAGACACAGGCGAAAGTTAGAAAAGGCTCATTTGAACTACAATTCCTGCAGCCTTGTTAGCAAGCCTGCTCGAGTTGAGGACTCACAGGATGGTAAAAACAGTTAGTTACAGTCCGTTTGATGTGTTTTATATTAGATTACACAGGGGATTTTTTTTTTTATGCAAAAAAATAAATAAAAGAGTAACAATAAAAAACAATAACGAGGCTATATACAGGGGGTACCGGTACCGAGTCAATGTGCGGGGGTACAGGTTAGTCTAGGTAATTGAGGTAATATGTACATGTAGGTAGGGGTGAAGTGACTATGCATAGATAATAAACAGCGAGTAGCAGCAGCGTAAAAAGGGGGGGGGGGGGGGGGGGGGGGTGTCAATCAATGCAAGTAGTCCGGGTAGCCATTTGATTAGCTGTTCAGCAGTCTTATGGCTTGGGGGTAGAAGCTGTTACGAAGCCTTTTGACCCTAGACTTGGCACTCCGGTACTGCTTGCCGTGTGGTAGCAGAGAGAACAGTCTATGACTAGGGTGGTTGGAGTCTTTGGCAATTTTTAGGGCCTTCCTCTGACACCGCCTGGTATAGAGGTCCTGAATGGCAGGAAGCTTGGCCCCAGTGATGTACTGGGCCGTACGCACTACCCTCTGTAGTGCTTTGCGGTCGGAGGCCAAGCAGTTGCCATACCAGGCAGTGATGCAACCAGTCAGGATGCTCTTGATGGTGCAGCTGAAGAAACTTCTTGAGGATCTGAGGACCCATGCCAAATATTTTCAGTCCCCGCAGCAATGTTCCAACATCTAGTGGAAAGGTTGTTATAGCAGCAAAGGGGGGACCAACTCCATATTAATGTCCATAATTGTGGAATGAGCATACTTTTGTCTTGTAGTGTATCTTCGGCTGTGAGTGCTGAAAAAAATTGGCCTCGCGACAATTATTGGAATAATTCAATAGATGTTTTGTGCACAAATGTGATGACTAAAGTGGTTTATTAGGAATTTTCTAATCTGATTTATCTATGTGGCCATGTATAGAAATAGTACTTCAGTACCGAAGCAAAAATGTAGGATCAGTCAAAACCATGGTTCTAGACCGGAACCCTGGCCCCTTGATAGGCACAGATTATCCATTATATTGACCACATACACTACTGACTGCTCTAACAATCAAAATAATTGTCTTCAAAAATGGAAGGCAGTCGGGAAGAGGCAAGAACAGGTGGGACCATTCTAGCCAATGAGAGGGCAGGTACGCGTGTGAACAACAGGCCCAACGGTTTCCACTAGTTACTACAACCACAAAGTCAACATTTGCTAAATATATATAGCCAAATATAGAGATATATCGTAAAAATTCATGAAAACAAAAATGTGCTTTTTTGATTTAATTTGAAGTTAGGGTTACGCAAAAGGTTAGCAGTGTGGTTAGGGTTTAAAATCACATTTTAATATATGTAGAAATAGGCGGGTTTATGACTTTGTGGCTGTGGTATCTAAAGTTGACGGGATGTCACGTGTCGTACTTATATCAGTACACTCGTAACAGCCTAATCATTATGAAACATGTATTTGATCAAATAAGCTACATGTAGCAAATAAGCCATTAAATTATTTGTTAACCAAATTTGACACTCTCTCATTGACCTCCATAAAAAAAACTCCTTGCTTGGTGAGCGAAAAAAACTGGAGAAAACGCCACCTGCTGGAGAAGACAGATTTTGGGCCCAGTTTTCCCTCTTGCTTCGCCTCTTCCTCTCTGGTAGGCCTATATTTGTGCCCACCATTATTGATTACTTTGATTTCCACATGCCGGTCTCTTGGACTAGAGACTTAGATTACATTTTATATCCTTTGAAATGTATAGTTTTTTATTTGTGCAAATCCTTGCACAAACTGTTACATTTAATATCTTATCAATTTGAAATGTGTCTTTACAATACAATTATGTTCCATATTGTCTGCAAAACAGATAAACAAAAACATTACAACAGACTGTTTCTCAGGCTGAGATACTGTTGTAAAGATATATTTTCCTACATTGGTATATTAATTGCCATACCTTTCAGTTTAAAGTCTAATAGTAATTAACAACAGATTCCGATTCATGCTATAGACAACACAACCAGTAAATAATCATAATGACTTTGCTATGATAAGCAGCAAAGCAAACATCTGCTCACATTGTTTACCACAATTTCCAATCACATCTTTATTTTACAAGCTGCCTTTGTGTCAATCACTCAAATCAACTCAATTAAAATCAAACACACAAACTATAGCTTTGCTTATCATACTATCATACAACATGTTATCTCTATGCCTAAGATGTAGGCTACTTACAGGTTCCAGAACATTGATATAGGGAAATGAAATAGGGTACCATCACTAAGTCTTGAAGTCTTCATGCAGAGTTTGGGCTTATCAACACCCAAAAGCCTGAATCATTCCTTTGATGGAGCAAACCACCCCCGATAAACTACACAGAGATCCCAGAGTTAAGATGAGAAGGTCCAGGGCCTTGAGCCTGCTGCTCATGGTGGTCCACTTGAGCTGCAGGTGGAAGAGGGAGGGCAGGATGAAGGTCATGGCCGCCCCCGTTACGCTGCCCGTCAGCCCCATGAGCAGGGAGAAGTGGGGCATGTAGAGAGCCATGAGGAAGGTAATCAACAGGAGACAGCCCCGCAGCACCAGAGTCCCCATGTCCACACCCACCTGCGCTGCCTCCAGCCTTAGAACACTGCTCTGGAGGACCTCAGCCACAGCGTAGAAGGGCAGGGGGTAGGAGAGGAGGGCCTTAGCCAGGAGGCACAGGTTGACCACCATGCGTAGGCCGGTGGGAAGGTTGTCAGTGATCACCTCTTTAATATCCTCGCCCCAGGTGAGGAAGGCCAGCACAGAGAAGGTGGTCTTCAACACACAAGCCAGGGAGTGTGTCCAGCTCATCATGTCGGAAAAGTCCCCCCTGTCCTCCATGCTTCCCTCCAAGGTGGGCAGGAAGATCTGGGAGGTGTAGCTGAAGATGATGACCCCTACGGACACCAGGAACCTCTCGAAGTCCACCAAGAGGACCATCCTCCTCCAGGACCAGCGGTGGGCTTGGTGCAGGCAGTAGGCTACCACGATGAAGGTGATGAGGAACTGGGCCAGGGAGCAGAGCAGGCTGAGTCTGGAGACCACCCTCAGGTCCCGGATCAGCATGCAGGGCACCAGGGTCAGGAAGGTCACCACGGACCAGGCGGCGGGGGGGAGGGGGAGGAAGGAGAAGCTGTGACACATTAGGTTTGTGCTGACCACCAGGTAGAGGATACAGGTCATCATCAGCTCTACCACCTGTGCTGCGTTCACCACCCGGCCGCCCAGCAGGGGGCACAGGCGCTTACAGCAGGCATTGGCGATGTCCTCGTAGGTGTCCCGCACTCGTATGGGCTGACCCTCCTCGTTGTCCTCATACAGGCAGGATACAAGGATCTTACCTGTGTAGTTGCAGATGACCGCAGCCAGAACGAGCAGAAGCAATCCTAGGTAGCCACTCTGAAGGAGAGCGTAAGGCAACCCCAGAACAAAGATACCCTAGGAAAAAGGAGAAAACAAGGGAACGACAGGTAGAGTGTGAACACGCAGTGATTTCTTGAATTAAGTACAAGGAGAGTGTAAATTACTGCTCTTTGCCTGAGACTTGATTGTTTGAAAACTGCCACACATTAGAGGATGTTAGACTTAATCATTAAAGATAACATTCTGCTTCAATCTTAACAAATGTGCCACTGGATGTCTTCACATGCTGTAGACTAATCAGTAGACTACACAACATTAATACAACAATCTTATCTTGCAACATATTCCTAATTGGATAGTCTGAGCAACGTCTTGCTTCAAGTCAAATTGCAATGCAGAACAATGTAAGTAAACAAACTGTTTATAATGTGATTCTGAGTAAATATGTAGATGCACTACATAGATAGAATCAGTCCAGACAATAGGACACTGGGTATTTAGTGTTGTTGGAAAAGTACATGGTGTTGAGGATTATGATGATTCCATGACAATGTAATAACTGAACAGATGAAGTTGTGAACAGCTTTACAATTAATCATACTCTGGCATAGAAAACACAAATGAAAGTTAGTAGCCTAATTATCTTATTAAAAAAGCTGGGACACTGTTGATTTGAATATGAATGGGGGGAACAACTGCTGAAATGCACATTTGCTTACATACTAATAATATGCTGTAGTTATTGAAATGGCCTTGTTTACAAATATTATACAAAGGATTATTCTCAGCTCTGCCATTCCTTCCATTAAATATACTGTAATTCCAATGCATCCTCTAACCACAACAACAACAATGCAATAATGCGCATCCAGTGCACTCTCTAACATTCATTATCCTCCATAACCATAATAATTTATTGAGAGTGGAAAAAACACATAAAAGCTAAACATAGAGAAGCATCTTTCCTAAGGTCTGAAGTCAAAAATCTAGGTTACCTGAATAGCATTGGTCACGTTCCATCCTGCCTCCCAGGTGGTGATTTTGAGACAGGTGCTGCTGGAGGGACTGGTAGGTGTCTCCTCATTCCCCCCCTTTGGGCTGGAGGTGGTGGGTGACTCCCTGGTCTCCTCTTGGTCCTCTCCATAGGTCCTGTCCAACTCATCCCTCTGGGCGAACCCCAGGCTCTCCTCATCCCCATGGAGGAACCTTGAGGTCCACAGCAGCTCTGCCTGCGTCCCCAACCAGTCTAGTCTCAGAAACGACATCTTAGTGTGGGTTTAGAGGGCTCTGTCTTCTGCAAATTTTACTGTAAACAGCCACTCAGGTCAAAAGAGAGAGGCTACCTGTTGAGGTGATGGTTCCCTCCCCATCACAAACTCTAACAGCCAGCAGACAGCAGTGTCAATCTCAGGGGGGCTCAAACCCATACACAGTTAACGAGGACCACAGCACACAACATGAACCTGAGTGGCTAAATTGGCTCTCCCTGACAGTTAAATGGTCTAACAGGTGAGACATTATGAGGGTGATTGACAGGCTGTTGAACTGTGACAAAGGATAATAGCTTCCGGCTTTTAAGATGAAGAATGAGTCCATCATGCAAGAATAATCAGATATAATTGAATGTCTGGCCTCTGCAAAGGACCTGAGAGGGGCCCATTTGAATTTGTAAGTTGTCATTTCTATTTTGAAACAACAAGATATGATAATAGCTGAGGGCTTTTGTGCAGATAACTTATATTTAAATATTTAAATTACCTTAGTTCAACTATGGCAGTTAGATTTAACACCAGAGGGAGCAATAGAGGACCAAAAGCATGGGTGCCTAAATGTTTGCACTGGTCTCAGCATCCATGACAAACCTAAATTGTAACACTTGGAAAGTTCCATTTTGTTTTCAATACATATGTTAGTTTGTTTCTTATTATTATAAGTACCACCATTATCATCATAAAGTTTAGTAAAAGTATTCTTCTTCCCTTAATCCTATTCCATATAATCCCTAAACTTCTGTTCTGTGACGCCCCCTCCCCATGCGCGCGGGGCGAGCGGGGAGAGTTTCTTGAACTTGCAAAAGTCAGTCTTTGACATTCCCCTCAATTTCAGGCGCCGAGTCCGTCGCACATAAAGCGACTCCGCCAGACTGCACGCTGATGAAGAGATTTTAAAATGAAAGGTCTATCGTTTTTTACACTCATAGCGTTGCTATGGCAATGCAGCCGAGCGCAGCAAAGGGGTGAGTGGATCGTTTGCCAAGTAATTGCTTTACTCACAATCTGAAATATTTCGTTGGATTTGTGAATTAGTCACAGGTTTGACCAATACTTTTTAATAATAATATACACATTTTCCTTGGCAAGATTGCCCGTTTATTTTTAGTTTACTCTAGTATTTTCATTAAACAGACAAATTAACATATTGTTTCATAAATTCCCTGAGAATATTGATATTGGCTGAGAATAATAGAGAAAATATAATTTATTTTCCAATTAGTCTTCTCTGAACCATATCTTAGAATAACAGTTTAAAGAAGAATTCTAGAATCTCTCTAGAATCTTCATGTTTGGACAGCTGCCAGCTGTAAACCCACAGAAATTGTTGCACCATTCAACTTTGTTCTGCCACCACTGTATGGGGTACCCACATCATTACATTCAGTGTCAAAACAGAAAGGGATTCTATCAGAAATATCAGTTGGAGTCATCAACTGTGTTTTGATGTCTAAATTTAGAGATTAATTATAAAGATCCACTCTGATTTAAGTTAGAGCTTTTCCCTCATTTTAAATGCTGATTTCAGCTTTTATAGGAAATTGATGCTATCTACATACAAACCATTTTATTTTTTAATCTCATACTAAGTGTAATTTGAATGAAATGTGTTGAAATGTAATCATTCCCTGTCACGGTAGGTTTGTGTCTTGTGTCAGTGTATCTCTAAGACATGTCCCTCTTCTTTATCACATAGAGCTTCGTTCAGTGGCTGTTTTCTAGGTTAGTGATAGGCAGGATCTGTGTCCTCTCCTGTCAAAGGCAAGGGACACGTGTCCATGAACAGGTGTCACTGTGTTTGTTAACGGAATTCAAAGCAGGGGGGGGGGACTCTAAATTTAGCCAGGTGTTAAGCAAAAATAGTGCTATCTCATCCTGTATTCTAAAGATGCACAGGAAGGAGAAGACATTATCGGGATGTGTTTCATGTGTCATCATTATGATAATCCCTTTTGGATCAGTTATCAGGAGTATTTTATAACAGAGCTGAGCGGACTGAGGTCAGCGCGTCTCTCTTCAAAATGCTGGGTATTTTGTGGTCATTTAGAGCATCACCAAATCAGCCCAACAGATGTTTAGTCGGTGCTCCAAGTATGTCCAGATGGTGATGCTGGATGAATTTGGGATGGATGATCATATACAAAAACAACAACATAAGCCCCCTCAACATGAGAGAGGAGAGGAAGCTGCTGTAACAGGGATGTAAGGTTTCTCAGGCCTGCGATATTCCATTGTGATATTGTAGCTACTTCTGTAACATCCCTGTTTGACAGGCCACCAACAGTATTATAATGCCACTTGGACTACTTCTAACTTCCGCATTTTTCTGTATGTTTGTGTGTGAAAGAGGAATGCGTCTTTTTGTGGTCATACCTTTTCCTGCAGAGCTGTTTGCAAACTGCTTTTGTGAGAGAAAAAGAGTGTAGAGGAGAAAATCAATACTAAATTCTGCCACAACGACAATGAAAACTGGGTCCAACTGTAGTCTGACTTAATCTTAGTCAATACTGATGAAAAGATGCTAAGAGTATGATTTGATAAATTGCTGTGGGTGCTTTGGCGATCATTTGAAATTGCTGTGTTTGTCAGAAACATGAATGGCTGACCATACCTATTTGTTTGAGGGCAAAGATGTTTGGAGGATAATAGCAAAAGAAGAAGGGTCTTGTTCATAAAACGGCACTGCATATTTTTATTCCCACAGCAATCATCAAAGCAAAGATCATTGTAAGTGTAGATTGCCTGGTAATGAGACTATAAAATATGTTTATCATATATTTACAATAGTCTGACTGTTTAAATGGCTGTTTTTGTTTAACATATTTGTGTGAGCATGCATATAGTTCTTAATGCGTGCTAAAACTGTTATGTAGGGTCCCCTGTAGCTCAGTTGGTAGAGCATGGCTCTTGCAACGCCAGGGTTGTGGGTTCGTTTCCCACGGGGGGGGCAGTATGAAAATGTATGCACTCACTAACTGTAAGTTGCTCTGGATAAGAGCGTCTGCTAAAATGTAAATGTGTCCCCGAGTTGCATCCGATAGTACAGTAAACATGTCAGAGTATTGACCTTGCAGAAGGACACTCTAGTTAAATAGCAGAAAATTGAATCATTCAGTCGACATTCATTGTCAATGTTTTATAGCGTTGGAATTGTAAATCTTGTGAATTGGTATGATTGTGTGCAGGGCTCACTTGTAAAAGAGGCCTTGGTCTCAATGCGATTTCCCTGTTTAAAAACTACTAAACACAGCACAGGGCCTGCAGCCAGGATTTGAACGGATATCCTTTTGGCTATAATTGCCTCACGCATGGGCCCCATATGCAGTCCTTCAGAGAGCTGTGGGATTTCTCCTCTGACCCTCATGGCATACTCCCCACTCAGCAGCTGCACTGAGACACTGCTCTCATGTGATGTGGGCCTATCTGTCCTGACTAAGTGATGGAAGACTGACCTCTCGCTGCACCCTTTGGACTCTGCAGGAGGCCTCTCTCTCGTACTCCTCTCCCTCTCTCTCGTACTCCTCTCCCTCTCTCTCGTATTCTTCTATCTCTCACTCTCTCTCTCTCTCTCTCTCTCTCTCTCTCTCTCTCTCTCTCTCTCTCTCTCTCTCTCTCTCTCTCTCTCTCTCTCTCTCTCTCTCTCCCATGGTCGCTTCTCCATGGCCCTATAGCTCAAGGATGGTCCTGTGGTAACACATGGTGTCAATTTCACCCCAACCATGCTGCCCTGATCCTGGGCTGGAATCTGACCTGACATCTGGCAGTATTGATGGAGTAGTGTGGTGCTGCAGTTTTCTTCAGATCAGTGTCAACAAAACAGAGATGAAGTTAACATGTTACTAGTAGGCAGAAGGAGCCATGGTTGAAATTGTAACTGAGATCATAGAGGATGCTTAATGATTTCCTCTTGTTGTGTCATTGTGTCAAGGCTTAGAGAGATGAGAAGTTTAGTCACAGTCACGCTGTTTTGTCATTTCCCTGACCCTTCCAACAGGTAGTCCAAAAATATACGAGATTCATTGTACCCTAGATTGAAAGTGCTGCAGAAAACAGTGGCTTGCGAAAGTATTCACCCCCCTTGGCATTTTTCCTATTTTGTTGCCTTACAACCTGGAATTAAGATTTATTTTTTGGGTGTTTGTATCATTTGATTTACACAACATGCCTACCACTTTGAAGATGCAAAACATTTTTTTGTGTGAAACAAACAAGAAATAAGACAAAAAACTGAAAACTTGAGCGTGCATAACTATTCACCCCCCCAAAGTCAGTACTTTGTAGAGCCACCTTTTGCAGCAATTACAGCTGCAAGTCTCTTGGGGTATGTCTCTATAAGCTTGGCACATCTAGCCACTGGGATTTTTGCCAATTTTTCAAGGCAAAACTGCTCCAGCTCCTTCAAGTTGGATGGGTTCCGTGGGTGTACAGCAATCTTTTAAGTTATACCACATATTCTCAATTGGATTGAGGTCTGGGCATTGACTAGGCCATTGCAAGACATTTAAATGTTTCCCCTCAAACCACTCAAGTGTTGCTTTAGCAGTAAGCTTAGGGTCATTGTCCTGCTGGAAGGTGAACTTCCGTCCCAGTCTCAAATCTCTGGAAGACTGAAACAGGTTTCCCTCAAGAATTTCCCTGTATTTAGCGCCATCCATCATTCCTTCAATTCTGACCAGTTTCCCAGTCCCTGCCAATGAAAAACATCCCCACAGCATGATGCTGCCACCATGCTTCACTGTGGTGATGGTGTTCTCGGGGTGATGAGAGGTGTTCGGTTTGTGCCAGACATAGCGTTTTCCTTGATGGCCAAAAGCTCAATTTTAGTGTCATCTGACCAGAGTACCTTCTTCCATATGTTTGGGGAGTCTCCCACATGCCTTTTGGCGAACACCAAACATGTTTGCTTATTTCTTTTCTTTAAGCAATTGCTTTTTGGCCACTCTTCCGTAAAGCCCAGCTCTGTGGAGTGCACGGCTTAAAGTTGTCCTACGGAC